AATGAATTTGCTATAATCGTAATATTCATATCGCTAAAGTAATCTGAATTTTAAAACATCCGATGTAATTTAGAAAAGATCTATTTAGAGCTATTAAGAATATAAGAACTATTTATGTTGAAAGACAAAATTATTGTTCTTATCATTTACTGCTTTAAATGTGCGCGGCCCATGTGAGGCGCGCTGGAAGAATCAGAAGCAATCATGAAAATCACCGTGACTGGGAACGTGATCGGATCACGAGTGATTCGAAAGTAGCAGTTCTAGCCATCACTAGTTAGACGTACGATGCATTACATGTACAATGCATTGTAAGTACGATGTACTAATACACTCCCGGTAACAATAGCCGTAGGTTAATCGTACTTTGCTCTTAAAAGACACAAACTGCCCGAGGTGCTTGTACCTGTTTTAAGCAGATTATGCATTGTAAGTACGATGTACTAATACACTCCCGGTAACAATAGCCGTAGGTTAATCGTACTTTGCTCTTAAAAGACACAAACTGCCCGAGGTGCTTGTACCTGTTTTAAGCAGATTGTACTTAAGAAAGTATATGTAATATTAAAATAAATCGGATATCTGATCTTCGCCACAAATTGCCGGACATTCTATAGTCTACATATTGCCTAAGCATTGTATACGATGCCTGATTTTCATACATTGCCGATATACACATAAATGTACATACGTAGATAGAAGATTGCGTGTTCCTTTTTTTTCGAAATGATGCCTCTATGACAATGATTTATTAAAATGCAAACATTTGACGAAGAACAGCTGCCTGTGAGAGAAACCTTTTGCGGTTCACATTCAAGAGCTCGTAATTAATCATAAGAACACATTTAGGGTCTGTTTCCTTACTTTGTTTGTGGAATTACTAATTCAGTGTCCACTTCTTATTTCCAGTTCAATTTATCCCTTGTTATATTAAATATTGACGCAGAAATAAAAGTTAATAACAAAATAAAATTACAAAAGTTTAATGTTCTTTTATGCGATTTTACTATTCTAGAAGAGCGATATTGAAAGATTAATGCAGTCTACGCTGATGTGAAACCTAATTGACAATTCAATTACGATTAAAATGTAGTCGAGTCTGAGCATGTTCTCAATTATTTAGATTGGAACTCATTTCTCTTATGACTTGAATCTACGGCGTCGTGTGACCTAAAAATAAAATTGCGACGAGTTAAAATTACGTATTAAATGTACAAGACGTCTCAGTTAAAGGAGGCCACTTAAATATCTCTTCAGTTTCTTATGTTATGAAAACCCTTCACAGATTTGAGATCGTATAAAATCTCTGTTAGAGCCTTAAGACATGTGATAAAAATCTATGTCCAGTATTTGGAGTAATAAAATTATGCCATTTAAGATAAGAATTCAAGATGTAATAACTTTTTTAATAGTCTAGCAAAATTCCTAAAATTTTGTGTTAATGGAATATCTAATAACTATTAAAATTTCAATGCGTCGTCATTTTTTTTTCATTGAAAGTTTCATACGACCTTGAATTTTTGACAAAGATCTTACGGTTCATACGACCTCGAGAAAAATCGGTTGATTCTTTTAAGTCTCAATAAAAATTAGTGTAATCTGTATCCGACGAATTGGTGGTTACAAAGTTCCTCAATTCCATCGTGTTCCGGTTGACGGGCAAAGGGTTCTCAGGCAGCTTCATTATTGTCTGCCAATTGCGTGTCGAAGAGGTGGAGTGACCAGATAGGTAGGCGTACACCAGGAACCTCCGAGAGCGACCAATGAAACCTCCTTTCACGACGTTTTACATTATGTATTCTTTATGTTGCTAAGTCGCTATATCTATCGGTGCTCCGCCCTTACGTCCGCGGTCTATATGTATACTTTGCCGTTGTACAATATATACATAAGTACTTACTTGTAGTGTATAACGCGAAAAAAGACCTTCTCGTATATTTATAATGGCACTTTCGCACTGACTACATTGTTGCGTGATGTCCAGATCTGCATTGCCGCTTCATAGATAATCTTTTATTTTTGCCGAAGAGATTTGCCGAAAGTTTTTTGTACCGCAATAGTATTAAATAGTAACTTGCGGAAAGAAATTGTCTCAATCAAGCATACAGCTGAAGGAGACCGTCTGAATATCACTTCTGTTTTTCTTTCTTTTATGTTATGGAGAACGGTAGCGTTGAAAAGAAGAAACATCAAAGACCAAGCTGTTACGTTTGAGTATACAGCTACACGATACAATAGAACACAGGACACATGTTTTACACAAAAAATGCCACTGGGCTCGAAATGAAAGACCAGAACTAATTGTAAGTTTCGGCTCCTCGAAGACCCAAAAATCTTTTAACACAAGGACGAAAAGTCGATGTTTTTTAGATCCACGTTTTCCACTGTTTCTGCTGAAACGTCGATTTACTGACAATTGTTAGAAAAGTCACATGACTATTCATGCAATTTTTTTATCATTTCGTTCAAAATGTAGATTTCTTTTCGTCTTCATTATATTCACAGACGAGCAAAAGTAGGGAAATATACATTTTAAAATTGAACACTTGCTGAGTCTCGTAAGAAGAAAACAGGGATCGGCTGTGATTATTGGCAACAGGAAACGTATCCTTATATCCTCGCCGTGCTGTGATATAACATTACAAATGATATTTAAAGAATAATGAGAATAAGAAACTGTTATGTGACACTGCAAAGAAATATCTTGTACTGAAAAAAGTTTACTTATATTTCAAATATGAATTCTTCCGTTTCATATCGAATATATTAAGAAATTACATTAAATATATTTCGTGTTACTCGCTACTGACGAGCAAGTACAGTTACTTCCATCGGTTGCTTGATCATTATTTTCCATTTTCTTTTCAGGCAGTGTGATATGTTAACCGAAGACAATGATCCGACAAAACCAGCAGGCGTTTTAGACAATCCTGGCAACGTGTCTTCGTCGTCAGAAGCCTCGTTGCAACATCCTCGCTCTGCGAACAATGGTAAATAATTATCTTCTGAAGCCATTAAAAGAACCATACTAAAAGCGTTACGTCTGTTTTATTTCCCCTTTCGTTGATTCTCATTTTCTTTGTTTAATTTAATTAACGTGATCACGGAAAACAGAATTTAAAAAGAAAAAGAGCGTTACGGAACTTGCGTTTGTAAGGTAACTCGCCACTAGCAATGATAACCGAAACCGAAGCTCGAATAAAACAATTCGGTGCTTTAAAAGGGTTTCCGTCTGCATTTCCTACGTAGCTGCGTTCCCTTTCGCCCCGCAGTAGTCAGATAATAGAATTAAAATGAGAAGCTAACTGTACGCTTGATACGTCGCCGGATTCTTGTTTCCTTCCTGTAGAGAAAACTCGCTACGTACTTATTGGCAGGAACGCTTACAATCAACCACCGACTAATTGTTTATCGGAAATTAATTCTTAGCTGCGCTTCGAAGTAAGAAGGCGAAATATAACTTCTCTCCCAAGTATCGGTTTACATCACATTATGGTCGTGGAAATATTTCAGCTGCGCAAATATTTTGATTAGCTGCGAGATAATTATAAACGTGATATATTAGAAAATGTATTTATTACAACTTAGGAAAAGTGTTTGCTTATCATTTGACGAAATTTAAACGGTTGAAATGCGTTCATAGGAATGAAAGTAAAATAAGGTATATCATATCAAACAATTACAATTAATAAAACAAATTACATACTTTTAACATTGGCATTATGATTTAATGCGACAAGATTTTTAATAGTCATCTTATATTAAATTGTAAACCACTGCAACGAATTGTGACTGAAAGTGTAAGGTAAAACTTTTTTAATACTCACAGAAACGGAAGTCAAGAACGAGGTGCAAGACTGCCCGGAAAACGACAGCGTACCCAGCGGAGAATTGTACATCGATGAGAATGCCGAGGAAAAGGAGCAGGAATATCCGGATTCCATGGAGAAGGCGGACTACGGTTCATTGTACGGAGCCAATCAATATTATAACAGGCATGTATTTTTTATGTTCGGACGCCGCTATTAATTCCTTGTCTCATTGTACACAATTCTCCTCTGACAAACTTTTATAATTGACTCATTAGACTAGATTAGAGATAAGAAGTTATAATGATTAATTGTTTTATAATCATAAATGTAATAAAGTATTTTACGTTGTCATGTAATATTAAATACCATTCAATATGGTAAAACTGCGTTTCAGAAACATGTTATACAGGGTGTTCCAATATTTATGGTAAAATCAAATTTTGATGTAAATGATCTTCTATTTTCTTTCTACGGTAAACGTCCCAATTTCTGTTCACGTCATAATTTCTAATTACTGGCTTCCTATCCATATAACTCTACATGTGATCTTAAAGCAGTGAGCAGAACTTCTAACGTGAACAGAAATTGGGACTATATCACACGAAACATTTATTTAACAATGTAATTCACAATCAAATCGGTTACACGCTTAGGTGAAAATGATGTAAACATTTATTAAAACGTGAGTTTCACGTTGCTAGTTTGTACAATTCGCCTCCCTACGGGGCGACCACAGCCGGGAAGAACTCCTCGGGACTGCAGAGCTCTTATCTGACCCCGTACACAACGCCCAGCTCAATGACACAATATTCATCCTATGCCACGTACAACAGCGGAACCACGAATTTTCCAAACGTAGCGCAAAATATATCGCCGTCGTCTCAGGTATTGAAAAACGTTAGTATTCGACGGCCTGAACGGCATCCGTGCGTTTCTGCGTTCATCACCCGGTTTTCCCTCTTTTATTTTTTTCAGAAATTAGACTACAGCGCCTACAGTAGCAGCTTGTACGGAAATGACAGGGTACCGTTACAGTATTCCGGATATTACCCCATGCACGGCTACCATGCTACACCCGCCTCGTTTAACATTGGAAATCTAAATTTCGCTGGTAATGTTAGTCCACCGAGTCATGCTTTTTCGTTTTCGAACAATCGTGAAACGAATTCTACTTCCTCATTGTAGTCGTATGACATGACTGATTATGAGCTGCGTTGCATGAAAATTGTTGAATCATTTGTTTGTATTGCATCATGTATTTAATTTTATAGAATGACTCATGAAGGAATCGGTTATTACCTTTTAATCGTATCATTTAGAACTAAGAAGAGCATTATAAGATTTTCTTATTTGAATCTAGAATTGTAAAAATCTTTCTGAATTTATCTGCTTTACTTCGTGTAATGTCATTGAATTATACCATTTTCATTTGTTTGAAGAATAAGATTCTCCTGCGTTTTTGCTACGATTTGTTTCGCGATTATGATTTGCGTATAGTAACGATACCTATCCTTTTTTTTTAAAAAGATTCGACAAAGTCTGCGCTTACGTTGGACGCAACAACTCACGATGCCAGCGATCTTACCGCACGAGAAACCGCAAACATCGAAGGTAACACGATTCGTACGTGTGATTTTTATATCTACATTTTTTGCTTGATGGTGTACGAGCCATCGCGCTGTCGGGTGCGTACTGGCATAGAAAATAGTTAGCGTCAAAGTGTTAAATTGTACATATAACATGCTTAGCGTTTTCTCAAAATCAAATTTCTTGTAAAATTACTGATACAAGATACACAATATGATTGGAAATATTCACCCTCGATCTTTGATTCCTTTCTACAACATAGGTAATAAAGAAAATATTTATTGTTGAAAATTAATATTAAAAAAAATGGCGTGGTAGAAATATGTATATAATAATTTATAAAGAAAATGAATACGTGAGAAAATATTCTTTCTTAAATCTGATTATGGTTACTCGTTCGCTGTTCACGTGGGCGATCGCGTGACATCATTTTTTTCTTTATTAAAACGCAAAAAGGCGTAAGTAATTTTGATTTGTTACATTATCAGTTTATGTTCTTTTATTTCTTACATCCTAGCTTATAAAAAACAAATTTTTCAATTAGAAATGTTCATTTATTGAGATTAAATATATTAAACAGTATAGCATGTTTAATGAATTCAAAAAATAGTTTCATGCATTTTTTGCTTCTTCCTTTAATATATAAATGTCTGCGCTGAATTTTGAGGATAGGAGTGTGACGGGTTGGATGTGTTGCAGGAGCGACGGCGAAACCCTGCAGACGCGGAAGGCGTCAGAGCGGAAGTGGAAACAGTATAGGGTCTGCGGATACGACAGAAGCCGGCCCCGACCGGATATTCATCTGGGACTTAGACGAAACCATAATCGTGTTCCATTCGTTGCTCAACGGAATATTCGCGACGAAGCACCGTAAGGATACCGCCCTTCTCGCCCAAGTCGCATACAGGATGGAGGAAATGATATTCAACTTGGCGGATACTCATTTCTTTTTCAATGATATTGAGGTAAAGAAAAACTTATTGTTTATAGATAACTGTTTACCTCTATATCATTGTTTATTTCTATATCTCAGTATAAAATATTGCGACTTCAAAAAAAATTTATAATGCCAGTTTATAATAATTAAACTTAAATTAAGATTTTTTTGTCTTTCTAAAATAATATTATATGTAAAACTTCTGACGTTTTGCATATTTTTCCACATTCCACATAAGTGTATAAAATCCGTAAGCTATTGACTCTCAAGTAGAAAATTATTTCCATTTCTGAACTATAGGATTGTGATCAAGTGCACATCGACGATGTGTCATCGGACGATAACGGGCAGGACTTATCCTCTTACAATTTTGCCAATGACGGTTTCCAATGTGCATCCGCAAACAACGGTATATGCTTAGCCTCCGGCGTTAGGGGCGGCGTCGATTGGATGCGAAAGTTAGCCTTCCGTTATCGAAAGATCAAGGAGATCTACAATAATTACCGAAACAATGTTGGCGGCCTATTGGGCGCTGCGAAACAAGAACAATGGCTGCAACTCCGTTCGGAAATTGAGGCGTTGACCGACAACTGGTTGACATCCGCTGTCAAGTGTTTAAGTCTGATAAACAAAAGGAGCAACTGCATTAACATTCTGGTCACTACCACGCAGCTGGTGCCAACCCTATCGAAAGTACTGCTCTTCGGCATCGGTGGAATGTTTCCGATTGAAAATATTTATTCGGCCTCGAAAATCGGTAAGTCAATTCATATAGGTACATGTCATAGCGATTGTAGGAATTAGATACTAATACTTGCGATTATTCTTACAATATAACTCACTCTTCTAGAGTTGCGTCTACATCGTGTAACAAAACATTATTATATAACGTATTTGTTTCAAATTTTGTTATGTAACACATCTCTATGAGAGAGAGAGAGAGAGTGAAAGAGACGGAGACTCGTTACAACACCTTATTTAACTAACTCACAAAGTGGAGGTTCTTAACACGTTTTGTTATTATAAAATAGACGCAGCTTTAGAGAACTACATTAATGTTAGATATCTCGAAATTATTGCCTACTGTAGAAGTACCCCATACCACCAATTTAGTACAAACTTTTTGTATTTTTCTATTTAACATTAATCTCTAATTGACTGTATTGTAACGAGCGGAATAGGCTAAACGGACACTGTCCACGAGCCTTCTCGATTCTGGGTTTGTCCAGTAACGGGAAAATCGGTGTAAATAAATAAATAAATAAATAAATAAATAATACGCAGTAAATGTATCATTATATTAATTTTCAGGAAAGGAAAGTTGTTTTGGAAGGGTGGTCGCGCGATTCGGTCGGAGGTGTACGTACGTAGTGATCGGCGATGATTCCGACGAGGAGACAGCGGCGCGTGCCCACGATTTCCCCTTCTGGAGGATAAACAGTCACTTGGACACGCAATTGTTGTACAGCGCCTTAGAAATGGGATATCTTTAAACGGTACGCGCTTACGAATAACATGGGATTAAAAAACCGAATAGTTTGAGGAAGTATGTTTTTATTTAGTTGTACGAAGACTTATGAGATATTTCTATATTCTTTACTGTATCGATAACGAAAGTGAAAAGAAAGACAATTCTGTCGAGTGAATCGTTTAAACATTCCTAATATTTATCGTCTACAATAAAATCGGGGATCGATTGTTCCTGGCAGATCGCGAAACATGATTCCGTAAAGGATTTTCAGTCATCTCAGATAAAAAAGAAATAATTGTTCAAAACAATTTGCTCATGAAATTTATTATGATTTAAAAAAATAACTCCAATTTATAAGATCATATTAAATCATTTTTACATTCCTCACTGTTCATCGAGGATGACTGAAGATCCTGTAAAATATTGTAGATTATGACAAGTCGTCGATCGTAAAACGCAACCGATCGGAGCAGGGTCCACAAGTGATATACCTATATTCGACGAAAGTAAAAGAAAGTAACAAAAAAAGGATGAAAATCGAATAATTATATTGATACGAGTATTTTTAATTAATTCCTGTACGCACTCTCTTTCGACCATGTGTAAAGATTATTTTATTGAAAGCGATGAGTATCTCTTCTGTACTTAAGCGTTTTGCATTCCTTATGCTACCAGTAGATTCTCGTCGACTTAAAGTGAGGACAGCTGAGCGCGAGAATGTATTTGCATCGCTCGGATTTTTGGATGACGAGAACGTCTCGCAAATTCGAAAATATTCACGTCCAGTCATAAAAACGTAATAATTTCGCGACTCGAGCTAAAACCGGGGCAATTCAGAGCGAGGTAAGTAGCATTCTCCTCGCTAAGAGTCTTGCCTCGATGAGAGTGTTATATGAATATTGTGATACGGTTTAATCCAATTATTTAATTATAGTACGATCCCAGTAAATATAATAAAGCATGGACATACGGACACTTTTTAATACAACAGTTCATGAGAAACGTGGTCACGTTTCTTTTTTCATTTATGATATAATTACACTACATTATTACAAAAGATATTCGACTGAAATATCGCATTCTTAACATTTATTTTATTCGTACATATAGCGCATATCTACTAATAAAAATATTTAGGTACCCACGTATTTTTCTGTTCAAATCGTTCATATCATTACATGACTTAAAAGCTTCTTTAAAATTTCAAACCAGTTCGTCATTATCCTTTTAGCTAGCCAAAAGTAGACGCATAGACATAGGTCAATATAAGTATCACTATAATTTTCAATTTTATGAGAGCCTTCGTCGCTCCTACTAACATGTTTTCGAAATGTACGAGATTAGGTTGTACACTTGAAATTTTAATTAATAAAAAGGGTGAGGTATATGATTAATAAATGATAACCAAAGTTAATGTCGTTGAATAACTATAAAATCGATTTATGTCTTTTTTTAGTGCATATATCGTAAAAGATTAAAAGAGTAGTTGCCGAAATACCAGATAATAATTATTATAAGATGTAAAAGATATTTCGTGCAAATTATAATTTTTATCAGATTATATCTTTTTGAAATTCAGTTTCTAACGAGATCTATTTATAATTTGAATGCCAGTTTGATTATTATTTTCTTTAAAAATCACCATTTGCGGTAATGCTGTATAAAAGTTATCTATATAGCAGTCGTAAAATTAAAAATAAAATCCTATTTCTGAATTGAAAGATCGTTTTACATATGAGTAGCACAAGAATTGCACAAATTGTAAAACAATTGAATGTGTAACGCGTCGAATACATAAAGAAAATTTTTAAATGTAAATCTATACTTTTGGATTGATCATTAGAAGTATTAAATTAAAAATTTTTAAAGGCACATTAAAAAGGATGTTTAATTTTTTAATTCAATGAATCATTTTGCACTTCACAAGAGTTGACCCTTTTTTATTTTAAATAAGATGTGATAAATGCGGACCTGCGTATTAGAATAGATCAATGAATATCGAAAATACTGTAGTATTATTATTGCATAAAGAGTGATATATGATCGAAAATGAATATCTATCTCATTTTTAATATTTCCTAGGGGTCTGCAGTGCCGAAAATTCAGGTCGAGTTTGGCTCGGGAATTTTTGTCGGGCTCAGGCGGAATCACTAAAGTTTATCCAACACATTTGTTCGGGTACTTGAATTCGACTTGTGACTCAAAATTGAATTCAGTGCCGATTGAAGTTTGGAAAATCATGCTGCGAGCTTATTGACAGCTCTCGAATTGAATTTCGTGTCCCGAGTTGATATACGAGACACGCGTAGATACGCGAGATACGTCATTATGGGCAGACGAATAAATTGGTCAAACTCTCGGTATCTCACTCGACTCGAGGATCTGTTGCTTGCACACACCTAATACTTTCATTTTGACTTATGCAAAATTTTTTTTGCTACTTATATCGAACGTATAGTGGATTTTATGACATCTATTTTATAGCGAATCAAGGGACTGCATTAAAAACTGTGCCTATCGTAATTACATGTATTTTTGTAAGTAACTATCATGGTTGCGGTTGTCGTTCTTTTCAATACAGTAAGCAGTATCTATACATACATAATAGCTATTGATGTTATAAATCTCTTGAAATGTAACAACGCCTACTTTTTGTGTTAAGATAACGATATATCGTTTACGTTCGCAGCTGTTTATGTTGGTTTACAATTGGTTTATGATTTGTATATGACATCGCTTTGCGAAGTAATGTACATACCGTCAGTAATTGCGTAATTATTTTCAAATGGTATAAAGTTTCCACAAAAAGGGTTATCTATATTTTTGATATTTTGATCTACGAGTGTTTGGTACTATAAAAAGAAATAATAAAAAGTTCTTAGAACGCTTATAATTATCGAGGGTTTCAAATAGGCAGTCTATCTATGTATGTTATGTGGTATTATCTATACGACGATCATTCTGGTACGATCACAAAACAAGTTTCATTAATTTAACTATGCAATATATAAGTAATATTAAGAAATTATTTATTTATTTTTCGTTTACAACGTATTCCTGTGAACAGCTAAAAAACACTTATAACGAGAGTATTTTTTACAAAAATTATTTTCAGGAGCCTCATTTTCCAACTGTTACATTGTAATAAAAGTATGAATATAACATTATATCTCTATTTTACATAGTAACGTATGTTGGCGCTGTTAACACACCACAGTTGTTATCTTTTTGAGCCATGAGGATATAGCCGTCGTTACCCCAATAAGTGGACCATGAATTTTTAACCAACCAGTAGTCCTTTCCATCTATTTTACCATAACCGACAGCCAGAACTGCGTGATCCATCTCCTCAGGTGTGTTACCTGCGAACGAGATACATCGTATTTTACGCATAAAACAGGTGTTCATTGTTAGCTATTAAAAATCTTTTATATATATTTACCACAGGATGGTTCATAGTATACACCATGAGAGTAGAACGAGAATGTTTTATGGGATGCGTCAATCGAAATGGATATAGGGCCATGCTTCGCAATAGCGATCTTCATAGCTTCAGGGTCACCCGGTGTGACGTTAACAAATCCGGTAATTTTGACTATCAACGTGGTATTATCTACATGACAGTAACCGTCCTAAACAGAACAGACCAGGTTTATATCTTCTCGAACTTGTTGGACGGTGACACAGACAGTAATGAAAAATTCACTTACTTGGCCAAGATAACCACCGTAATCATCTTCAGTCGGCAGTCCTCCGTGTTTCATGATCCACTGGTACGATCTGAAATCTTCGCCACCATCGCAGCCATTGTTTCCATAGCCCCACGAACAGTCAATAAGTGCCTGCAAATATGAAATATCGTAACGGAGTATCGCTCATTTTTAATCTTACTTCGTTTAAACTTCGTTTACCTGTTGAGACAGCCTAACTAATTCACCGTACTTCATGTAGTAAGCACCTTCGATGGTACCGGTGGTACCAAAACTCCAGCAAGATCCGCAAACAGATTGATCTGTTATAGCAAATAAATCTTTGTTCAAACTGTTGTTTAAATCTTTGAATTGGTTAAAAAAGGTGGATACCTTTAACAGGTGTAACAGCTCCATAAAGCCTCCAATCAATGCTATCTGGTACGTTGGTCATTTCGTGTGCAACGTTATACGGGAAAGGCTGTCCTCCATTGTAACCTTTGGTGTATTGCTTGCCACGCAAAGCTTTCAGTTCTAACTCGGTACGGTCTACCAAATGGTTGACTTGCAATTGGTATCCTTTGTTCGCTCGGTTAACCGAATGGATGAATCTTAAATTTTGTCTAAATACTTCTTTACGCATCAGTTGGTCCTTGTCATCAGCGTATTCCTTTTTGTGGTTCTTTTTAAACTCTTCGAATGCCTCATGCATGTGCCCGTCGTAATTATGAACGAACTCGCGCATGGGATTGAATGTGTATATGTGCTTGTCTCCAGGTCCAGGAAAACTGGCGCATGTCATGTTCGTTGTGATATCAAAAACTTCAGAGTTAGGCGTCTCAGAGGAGTACCAATCATAATCCAGATAATAGTGGTCATAATGAGAGCCTAAGAGACTGTTGAATCCTTTCATTTCATACCTCACAGGTATCGGTTCTTTAAAGGAAGGTATTTTAGGAGATTTCTTGTATCTTATCCAGAGAGTGTATTTGTTCAATTTGTCTCCAAACTCTTGTACCAGTCTCCATTTCTCACATAACAAACCATTGATCAGTTCCTCGCCAATACATTCCATTCCAGTTGTGTCTGGAATAATAGCTTGACACTGGATCTTGAAATCCTGCGTGCCATTTACTTCAAAACACGTTTCTTCATTGAGACGAGATTCAGTAGTAAGTGGGACAATTTTCAAGCTTTTTCCATACAGTCCCTTATGAGACAATTGGTATGTCTTTACCATTCCTCCGTAGTAGTCAATTCTACTGGACCCACTTGTACCATCATACCAGGCATAAAATGGTTCTCTGATTTCAGCATATGGAATGTAGAGAGTTCCTTTTACTGTGTAAGTATTGCTAAATGTTGGAGCTTTCGCAGCTTCCATAGAAGAGATACCTAACAAAAAACAAAGTTATCTAACACAATGTTCTTTTGGAATAGCGAGTAGGTAATAAAATATTAATGAACGTTGTCTTACCTAACACTATTAGTGCTAGTGTTTTCGTGAGAATGTACATTTTTATACTTCTGAAATAGAAACATGAGGATATTATCAGATACATGTAAGTGGCACATATGATAACATTATGACCTAAGTTAAATATATTTAAAACAATTGATTAGAATAGTATACTAACAAAAGAAAATAAAATTTTAACAAACATATCATTATTTAACGATAAAATCGTGCTTATATTAAAAAGTACATTGAGAAACGGTCAAAGCAGCAAACCATGATAATCGGTTAAACGACGAATTATTTTATTATAAATTGTAGCATCAAGAAAACTATACTTTTGCGTATATTCAAGTCTGGATGTATAAATATCAATTATCTAATGTTTAATATTGAGAAAATATGTCAGTTTAAGCATTTGCGTCACAGAAATTGAACAACTATAAAGGAAAAATAGCTGACCATCTGCGATTAAAAATCAAAAGAAATAAATCTAATTTGAAGGAAATTCAATTAGTCATATTCTACTTACTGTAATTCACTCGCACAATAGATGTTTCATACGTTTCACGTGCTGGAAACGGAAATATCAATCGACCTTATTTAATACTAAACACTCTTTTTCACATCACCTTTGCGCGTGAACAGTCGGATGTGTATAAACACAATTCAACAAAACTACAACGCGTCTCTGTAGCAAAACTGTCCGTCTTATATACGCGCTCCTAAACTGATAAGACTCCTATCCTACAAGTGCACTTGCTTACTTTCACTTATTTTGTTACCGTCAGCTGAAACAAGATAGGTAGATAGGATAGGATGCAATGTTTTCTGATTCGTTTGTGTATGCGCGTACGCGAATCTGGATATGTCCGCGGTATCGTACTTACTAATCGTTTAATAAATATGCGATCAAGACGATAGCGCTTCATTCAAATACGCGTTTCTTACAATTTGATAAAAAAACATTGTTAATCTTGGTGTTTAATGAACTCAAATCATTTGATGAGTATTGTATTATTACATGGTGGCCTGAAAAGGTATTTGAACACTGCTTTTAAAATTATCGTTAGTAAGGAAAACCAATATGTATATTATTTTATTATGATTATTCAAGTGTTTTAAATTAAGGAGTTATGTAATTTCGCGTGGGTATTTAAACGTAATTAACAAGCAAAAGTGGTGAAAAGGATCAGATCAAAGTTGTACATTTCCATTTACAGTTGAATAATAATTATTCATAGTATAATATGAACATAAATATAATAAAAAAAACTAATAATTT